TTTGTTAATGTCCATGTTTTATCGGTATCTTCTGTGTCTATTTCGAAATATGAGAAGCGGAATTACGGTTATCTTCAGTAAAGTTGGTCAAATTAGAACACAGTTGTGGAATTTGATGACGAATAACTTACCGAAGAGAAATTGTATCCATCTTTTGCTTGTTTTGAGGTTATTGACGAAAAACTAACAATTTTAATTCTTGTTTTTATTACTTTCTTTTTTATTGAAAACTGAAACAGACGTTCCGACATCGTTAGGTCACTTTTTTGTCCGGAATTCAGTCGCATTAGCTATGTTGACTACTACGATGGTATTTTTATATTTTTTAATTCAATGCACTTTTCTGATTATCATGATGTTTCATATGTTTACTATTTTGTTTTAATCAGAATACCTTATTAGATTTTTACAAAGAGTGATTTGAAATATACAAATATTGCTATAAACGACTTTTTTTAATATTGATATGTGTTGTATAGTCGATAAAAGTCAGTGTAATAAATACGGTCTATATATCATTAGTACATATAAAATTGCTATGTCTACTACCATAACTAATTGATATTTACAATTTTAAACTTAAATTTTACATAAAATTAGCGAGATTAATATTGTTTTAAGTTGTTATTAACAAAGAGACACTACAATTTTTAGTAGATAATTTAGTTTGTCGCTCAACCTTTTTGAAAAAGGAACCTATAAATACATTATTCCTCTAGTGGGAAGATGTCGCTACATACACCTTTGAGTCCTATAGTTAAATGTCGTATCAATACCCGCATAATAAATGTTTTACCTACTATTCAATTATTTATTTATCAAAATGTTTTATTTTTGCCTATAAAAATATATATCTACTTAAATAGTCACTGACCCGAATATGTCATCAAGGGGTGTTTTTATTTGTCCATTTTTGTCCAAATTTTATTCAGAGAAAAATATTATCATATTTACGATTATTTGAAGCCTTTTTTGTAGCTTAATATTTACCTAATTTCATAATGTTAAAATTTGATAAATCGAATCATGAACCAGGTTATTCCAATACAAACTACCACTGTGCATTTATGCCAAAGTTATTAATGTTAATTAACAGTTGATTAGATGCCTAAATAGAAAAGTTGATTCTAGACACTGACCTGACATTTTGCATACAAAATAATTACTATACCGATATTTCAATAGACATTAAATTTCAGCAAAATATTAAATCTGCCAAGGAATTGTTTATATTAAAAAGAATGCTAGTACATAATTAATTTCCTAAGAATGTATCAAAATATCACCCCAGCGCATTCGCCATTATTTAAAATAATATCCCAAATAAATTTAATTAAATTGTGAGTAATTATGTATTAAATTAATGGAGAATAAGATACAAATAAGATAGGAGTTTTTAAAATGTCTTATAAAGACGTATTTTAAAAGAAGACTACATTTGAAACGCGTTTAAATCTCGTTCTAAGTGCAGTCCTTTGAGAGAGCGACACGAAGGTGGCGATCCCAATTCTATTACCGCCCTGGATGGACATTCACTTATTTTATGAGCTGTCATATTGGCAAAGTTGGCCTCGGGCTACTCGCGATATATATCTCTATAACGTCCCTCACTTATAGATATTGTGACACTCTAAAAGTAATCTCCAATTTCATAAAAGCAATTTTACTGTCTATATATGTTTTATTTTTATATTTTATCACTTGTTAGTGCACTAGTGGATTTATAAGGTAGTTATTTATGGCGAAACGGAAGTTCCTTTAAGATTTATTTGGAATAAATTAATTGGTTGGCCGGCAGGTGATAAATTTTGAAAGTTGAAATATGGGGGATAAGTTTCTGAGTATTCGTATGTTCCTGAATTAGTTCTGAATAATCATTGATAAGGTCCATAAGTTAAATCTCTTCACTTAATATGATGAAAAATAGATAAGTACTGTAAGGGAAAAACTGATAGTAATCTGATTTTTAAAATAGAAGAACAGTTATAAAGCTAATAATTTTATCTGAGTTGTTTTAGTTTATAGTTTGTAATAAAAAATGTTCTTTTTATAGAGATAAAACGTTTTTGTCACCTACTAATATCCAATTTAGAGACAGTAGAGTACCTTGTTACTGTAATAACAAATATACTCGTAGATATAATCGCTATAACTCTGCATTAATATTATCCTAAAATAAACATGATCACCACAAAATACAGAAATACTGAAAATATGAACATTAGCATAATAATAATATGTATTTTAAGTTATGTAGAAGGCACCTCAATAGTTATCAGACAAAGATATAAAAGTGCTCCACAGAAGGTGGTAGTGTTTGACGGAGAATAAGTAAATTTCTATTCTTTAAAGAATGCCAGAATTAGAGTAAACAAGTGGCCGAAATTGAATTGAAGATCAAGATTTACAATTCTTCATCGCACCTAGGTGCGCACCAAGGAAAAGGAGACTTAGAATCCAATATTGATTTTCAATATTCAACGATCAATTTATGTTTTGTCTTTTGCGGTGACCGATTTGTGTGGCTTATCAAAATGGTCTAAAACCAAAAACCTCTAAACTAAACCACCAAAAGTTGATACAGGAAATTTTTTATTTTTGTTTTCTTTTCTATGTTATTTTTTTGTTCTGAGTTTTTCTGTATAAATTTTTGTATAACATCCAATGGCGTTGAATAGATTTTTGTATAACTTTTGGTTTTTCTATTGTTGTAACTCAAAACGATTATAATTAACTATGTCTTAAAACTAAAATCTCGTTTAAAATATGGAGACTTTAAACAAAATATTCCCTTGAAAAGTATGTGACTTTTAATCAAATAATTATTTGATGTTATCGTATTTTTTTGTAACCTTCTAGTCTTCCCTTTTTATTTCATTTACCTCTTTCATTGAAATCTTATTATATAACTTTGAGGATGTCCATTTTTTATATTTATAAACAATTTTATCATTGTAGCATAATATTGTTTTGCATAGCATTTATAGTGATCATCTCTATCTGTCATTACGTTAATAATTGCATTGCTATTAAAATTTTAAGACCACAAGGAATGGTCTTCTATAACGATCATCTTTTGTTATAAACTACAGCCTGAACTGGTTTAATATAACTAAATAAATTGTTTTCTTTATACATGGTCTCTCAAATATTGCAATTTAAAAATTGTGATTACATACATACCTTATGTGACCTTATACAAACAAAATTTTGATTTATAGTAAATAGGAGCAGCTATCAAGCTCTCAGTTTTTTCTTAAAAAAAGCCTGCTCCAATATTTAAACTTATGGCAATATTTTGGACATAGTGGTCATAAAATGAGACTTCATCGACTCCCCCGTTCTTAGACAAAAAATGAATCATTAATTGATTCAAATGTTTTAAAATACGGAGAAGGTGCTGCTGAATGAGGTTAGGAAAAAGACTATGTGATCTTTTATAGAAAATAAAAAATTTTAAAATTTAGTGGTTGAATTTGCGACAATATGCATATATAGGACAAAGAGGAGTCAGTTATTTCTATATTTACGTTTAATTAATGTTTTGCTGAAGTAGACCAATGACGTCGTTGAATTAAATTTTGAAATCGAACTATTCTGTAACGTATTCAGTGTCATAGAATTTGAAAATGCTCATTATAGAACACCGAAATAAAATGTGAGTAAATGGTATAACCTGTGTGACATGAAAACAAAAAAATAATTTGACAATGATTCAACAGTTTTCTTCTTATAAGACATAGCATCGCTGTAGTAGTAAAGGTATTTTCTATGTAGACGTCAAAAATATTGTTGAGAAACACTTGAACCGTTATTCTTTTTTAGACCCTTGGCTCTTTAAATTTAATTACTAGCCGATTTAATTTGAATTCTACATATAACTTCGATATATGTATTAGCAATATTATTTTATTTCTCATAAACTTTTATTTGGTTAATTTTTCATAAGGCCTAGACACTGTGACTACAGCATAAGAGAGCATTGACGATAAAACGTCATATATGGATAAAATTTACCTGTGGTCTTTTTTTATTAGTATTCAGGTCGACAGGTGATGTTGATAAAATATATGAAAGAATATGAACATGATTGAGAATGTTCATAAATAAATAAAAGCATTTAGTTGTTTTAGTATAATCACACTGAGATCAGTTCAAATTCATAAATTTTGTAAATTTATAAATAAATTGGAATATATTTGGTGTTGTGTCATATACATATATAAAGTGCGTTAATCTGTTTTATTGTTTACTTTCTAAGTGAAGGCTTTAGAAAAGGTGGAAGGTATAAATAAAGAACCAACTAAAAAAAATCATCAATATATTGACCATATATACATCGTTATATATATTCTAAAATACATAGTACATATCAACGTCGTCCTGTATCTAGTTACATGAATATTAATAATTACTCTGTACAAAACATTTCTAAAATTCTAGAAAACTACTTTTGATTTTTTGTATAAAACTCTACATTATATATTTCGTTTTTACTCTTCGTACCATAGGTTTTAATATTATATTCTATTGTTTCTCGTACAGCTCTTACATTAGACTATAATATTTTTGCGATTATCTGGTGCCTTATATAACAAGTGAACGAATATCCTCAACAAAGCATAACAATCGAAACAGCAGAAAATATGAATAGGAACCATAATATATACGGCGTCTCCAGTAGCTTTGTTGAAATGTCATGTTGAAAATATTCGTCGAAAATATAGATACTTTGAATTTATATTTCATCAATGAAAATAATTTAAAGAGGGAATTGCACGTAAGGGTCTGGATCATGGTCCATAGTTTTTTGTCGCGCGACATTCTCATTTATAGTAATATAACGACTAATAATAAAAATAATTCTTCATTTACATAAATATAAATTCGTAATAATAAAGCAGTTTTTAAATAAAGCGAGATTATTCGTACGTTGTCATATAATTTAGAATTAAGTAATGTGTTTCAGTAATTTATTTACAAAAAATATAGAGATTACTTTACAACCAGTTAGGCCCCAAACAATTGTCTAAAACATTCACTGCGTCGAATCGCTCCATGTCCGTGAACATCTGCTTCAGCTCAGTTAAGGCGTTGCTGTCTCTGTTTCTCGCCTCCCAAAGATCCAATATGCAATCCGTAGGAGACGGCTTTGTCGCGAAGAAGTTAATATATCTATCCACATGCAAAGCGTGAGCTAACATTCTCCAGTCATTGCCTCTCTGAACTGGAGGATCCAGACATTGGCAAAGCTGTTTCCTAAGTGCTTTACTTAACCTAAAATTGAAATCATCACAAGTGGATACACCTCTATCTGTTACAATTAAGTTTTTGGCTAGTTTGGCACTTTTCGAGGAATTTGCGTATTCCACCGATTTCTTTGAATCATTAGAGCGACTCGTCTCGCTTTGTATAGTAACTTTTGGCACAAATTCATTGTGGTTGAACTTTCCGGAACTCGTCTTCTCCACAGCTTCCTCTCCATCGTCTTTACATGTTATGTCAAATACTTGGTGGTAATCAAAACCTTTCTGATTTACTCTTATTTTGAAACTGAGGTTTCTGCTCACTTCGAACGATTCTAATGTGAAGGAACAGTGTAAGCTGTTGCTGTTAGCTTGCCATAAGTGCTTGAAAGGTATTTCTTGGTAGTTGGACGCTGGTTTAGGTCTCCACCCATCGCTAACGTTCTCCAAAGAAAGACAAAGGTTGTTACCACCATCTTGGAAGGTAATACTGCGAGACTCATCCAAAAGAAAGCCTCCCAGCCTCTTTTCTTGCCCAAAGACAGTCTCCATGGAGCTATCGGTATCTTCGAGGACATACACTCTTATACTATAATCTACAGAGGACTGAAAGCATAGTTTTGGCGCAAAAACTGCTAACTTAAGTCTCTTAATAGCATTTCCATTAATGGATCTACCGACTATTACGAACCTAGACAAACATTCAGTTACTAAATAGGCATAATCCTTATCTAATTGACAGAAAACGGTGGTATTGATAGTCTCTTGCCCTAAGGTGACAGCGTTCTGCCACTGAGAGTCGCTGCAGTCGCTCTGTAATACTGAAATGCACCAGTTGTTTCTAGTTATCTCAGCGCAGTGGGGGACCTTCAGAACTACCGCCTTATTCAGGGAAATGTTGGGGCCGCAGGAAACTACTGGACTTAGCTGGGTTAGACCCTCAGCTAATTTAGGCCTGAAGCAATCTTCGTTCAATATAGAGAGGAACAGTTCCTGTTTTCGGGATCTGGATATGGCGCCCTCTGGTACTAGGAGGCTCACCCCTGATTCGGAGAGGTTGAGGAATCCACCGGTGTGAGTCAAAGCTGAGCTCGTGTAGTTGCCGCTTGTCGTAGGGGTGACCGCGTACGCGGTCGGTAAAGCAGCGATCGGTAGTGTCACTGTATCGGTGGCTACCTCATAGGTGGAGTCGGCTGAAAGAAAGGAGAAATCAATAAGTTAAAATCACACTTTTTTAAATTTCGAAGAGGATGACACCTCTAGCGCCTATAAGTTAGTAAACAGTTACATAATATTTGATTGATTTTGTGAAAATTGTGTTTTAAGAAAGCGGAGAAGCAGAAAAAAAAACTTGAATATATTAAACTCATTTTAAAAATATTAAATCATAGGTTTCCCTTGCAGTGTTGCATAAATAGTAAGAGATAGGATATTTTTATAAATACCGGGTCAAATAAAACTTTGCGCAAAAAATATTTTACTCAAAGATTTAAACGTAACTACCTTTTACACTCAATTAAAATTAATATTAAATGAAGCAAAAAATTTTTTTCAGTTAGTAGATAACTATTTTATATGCAACTAACATCTATGTATTCTGTGAACGATGACACGTTATATTTGCTGTCCCTATATGTGTCCGAAAAGTAACATAGGATTTGAGCTTGTGCGCCATTTCATTCCGATAAGTTGGCAGCATTATGCAGGGTCATGTGTTGCAGTAAACACGTTGCGGTTAGACAAAATGGAGCGCTATACGACGGATGACTGAATATTATGAAAATTCATTACAAATACGAAGAGTATGTAGCTGAGACTGTGCGCAAATTACGTGGAATATTCGGTAGAAGGAACGAGCCGAATGAAATAACTGAAAATATTAGTTGCTAGATTTGAACAAACAGGTTCGGTTACAGATAATAAGAAAACTGCAATTCTTTCAATTTAGATTAGTCTAGATCTCTTATTTAATCCAATGGATCCAATGGATATCTCATTAATACAGTATAATTTTTTTTAGACCAAAAAATATTTCTGTCTAGAATTTATACATTTTTATATTTTGAAAAATACTCCTTTGATATTTTCTTGAACTGTTTTAAATGAATAACTAGTCCATCAATATTTTCATGTACCCAAAAAAATTTGCTAAATTATTTCAACAGTCAAATAGTCTTTATATCAGCATTTTGATAAACTTTAAGGGTAACTAATATCGAAATAAATAAAATAGACACCTGAGTTTGTAAACCGATATTAAGACAACGTAGGGGCAAACAAATTTGAAATTTGGATCATATATAGCACACTATTGTGTGCTATAATTTCAGTAAGTTTCGTTGTCCCATTTTTTAGTTATTAATGAAAATGTTGAAAAAATCACGGTTTTCTGCCTACAAAATTGAAACCTCTCACTTTAACTCGTCGTAATTTTTTTGTTAATTGATAAAAAAATTTCAAATTTTTGTGACGATAAGTATTGTCTAGTACTGTGAAGGTAATCTGTCTTAAAAGCTCTTCTTTTTTTACTTTTAAGTAAAACAGAAGAGAGTACTATCTCCGTAAATATTGGAATCTTTAAAAAAGAAAAAAACTGATATAACTGTAAACAACAATCTGAAAAAATTTGTTAAAATAAAACAGTTATAGATATTCTTAAAAACAGTATCGGAAGTGTCAATTACGTTTACGGTCCGATGCAGGTTAGACAGTATAGTCTTTGTAACTGTAGATTGTTGTTTACAATTATCTACTACTTGAGTCTCCCTTCTGTTTTGCTTAAAACTAAAAAAGAAGAGCTTTTGAGACAAATGACCTTCGCAGTACTAAAGACAATAGTTTGACTTATCGTCAGTAAAAATTTGGAATTTTTTTATCAATTAACAAAAAAATTACGACGAGCTAAAGTGAGAGGTATCAATTTTGTAGGCAGAAAACCCTGATTTTTTCAACATTTTCATTAATAACTAAAAAATTGGATAACGAAACTAACTGAAATTTTAGCACTCAATAGAGTAATAGTGGGGCTATAATAGATGGTCCAACTTTCAAATTTTTTTGCCCCAACGTTTTCTTAATATCAGTTTCCAATTCATTTATTTCGATAGTAGATAGGTACGTGAATTATTACGCTTGGGTCCAAATACCAGTCTGCCGATTCTGAATACTTTGTTTAATCGGAAATGATATGAACTATAACTCATAATAACATCCTGTGAATTTTCACAAAGTACAACAATAATTGTGTTCTTTTCTCCACCATAACCTGGTTAGAATTCAACGCAGAGGTACAGATATAAAGAAACACATAAGTACATATACATGTTCATACGAAAGCGCAGATTACCTTTTTGCTACCCAGGCGTTATATTATTAATGTCTGGGGACAAGAGTACATTTTTTTTCTTCAACATAAATGAAAAAATGCTGAAAATTATTTTAAATTTTCCGTTTTTAGAAATATTCTGGGTCTCAGAAAAAATCCAATGGATATACCTTGCCCTGACAAATCTTAAACTGAAATTAGTTTATTTTCAAATAATTTTGTGAACCAAACTATTTCGACTTTAAATGGCTTTTTAATTTCTTGAAAATTTACATGGGTTACTATAACAGTCTATTGGTTTTCTTTCAGCAAGGTTTTTTCGGTAGTAGCTGTCTCGCAACATTTGAAGAATATGTTCATGTTATCCAAGCGTTACATTAATTGTTTGGGGTTAGGAGTATATTTTTGTTGTTGCCTTCATCAATTTAATCACAAAAAATGCTTATGTGAAAATATATATTTTAGATAAAATGCCGGAGGCGCCAGTGACATAAACCCAATTTTTTTTTTTTTTTTGAAGAAAATTGATTTACCGATAGGGTTTTCGAAATTTTTAACATGTCTCTTTAACCCAATCGCTAAAAAATTGACTGTATTAATGTTTTCAGTCTCCGAACTTTATTATTATTTTTAAATATTGATCAGAATAATCAAAAAAAAAATCCATACATTATTCAGGCCCTAGCGAATCTAAAACTCCTTAGTTTATCTGTAGGTCTTAAGGCTTAAAGCTTAGGAACAAAAAACTAGTTGGTTTTTTCTATTTTTGGATCGATTAAAGGAAGGAAGAAAAAATCCCCTGTTATGATAGGAACTAAGTGTACCTTGGTTTTATGACCAATTCTTTCGAAAATTCTGTTTCTTTTACCCTTCATCCTAGACAACCTTGCGCAGGACTCTACTACTAATTTTATCCCTTACAAGCGGTAACCTTATTCAGATACTCAACGTGCTCAATAGATAACGCTTCACTGTCTGAGAACAAGTAATCATAGAAATCAATAAAACCCGCTATAAAACTATACACTCGCTTTGACACTCACAGTTATTGGTGAATCCACTCATCTGGCTCCTCTTACCGCTAGAGGACTCTAGCGTCGAACTTGTAGCCGGCGACATCTGAATGTCACTACCTGAAGCCAAGTGTGGCACGTCGTAGTGGTGTTCTGAAACCGACCTCGTAACGGATGTGGCTGGGGTCGTGTAGGGGTATTCGTAGCAAGGCGGGACGGTTTGGGTTAGATCCGGTTGGAGGCTGAGGGACTTCTTATCGTGCTCAGGAAAAAACTCGGGGTGATAATCTAAAATAAATTGAATAAATTAATAAAAGTTTTATACAGGGTGGTCCGTAATTGTATGTCGGCAAGCATATTACCGTAATTAATATTGAATATTACGAATATTTTCCAAATAAGTTTGGGTCAGATGGACCTCTTTTTTTACCGAAGTACGGTCCTGTAAAGTTGTAAAACCCGATTAGAAATAAAAAACTTGAAACTTGTGCGTGTGGTGCAAGCCGAATCGGATAATAATTTAGTGGCATTATGGAAAGAAATAAATAATCAATGACGTAGGTAAATATGGCAGCAAATTATAAATTTCAATAATCTTATAAAATTTTTGGGAAAACAGTCTTTTTTTTATATACAATAACTTGTTATTCAATATTCAAAGTTTACCTACTAAACAATGTGTGCACCAAGCAATTATCTCAAAAACCATGTGCCCTACTAAAAACTTACAAGAGAATTTATCTGCAAATAAAAAAACTTTTCTTTTTATAAATTTACAAGGTTAAACCCCGATTTATGATTTTTTTAGTTATAAAAATGACACTGCTGTTCTCATCTTGACGCCATCGACTATTTTATTTATTTTTGGAATACCAATAAATTTATTCCATCCTTAATCGACTTACACCACATCGGCAATTTGCAAGTTTCATTTTAGAAACTTGCAGGGTCGTATTTTCGTAAATGAGCTGAACTGACTAAAATTTTGATAGGAAAACTTTAATAGTGTACTATGCTTATTACCATAGCCATAGCTTTGCGACATACAAGTACGGACCACCCTGTATAGTCACGAAAATTTTTGAGATAATTTATAAATTCAATAGAAATACATAAACTAACCTAAATATTAATTTTTTAAATACATTTTATACAAAAAACTTATATTTTCCGCAAAAAATAAATTAATATTAATTTTGTAGTTGAAACTAAGTTTTCACTATTATATTTCAGTTAGGAAAATGTTAGTAAATTTATTTTTAATGCCTGTATAAAAAGCAAATTAATATTTATTAAATATTTAACCGGAAAATGTTTTTAGTTATTAGATATCTTCTAAAATATAATTAAAAAGGAACATGTAATGTGAATTTAATATTAGTAAAGCTAGAGTGAATTCCCCATTTTTCCGTAAAAATCTAACTTGTACATGTGCAAATGATACACTTTGAATAATAAATTATATGGGGTATTTCAAAAATTAGGTCAAGCTGCTAACCACATATTTTTTGGAGAAAATATTGTTATTTTCCGTATACTATATTTCATTTAAAAGTATTTTTTTCGAGATGTAGGATGCCAAGTTTCAAATATATATGTTAATAATTATTTTTTATAAAACTTAATGGAATTTTGTCCGTATGTCATGCCGACACATTTTTTGTGAAATATTGGTTAAAAAAATTGAAATTCGATTGAAGAAAGGAGGTTGTAGTAACAATTAACGCCCCAACTTTTCTTAAACACGGTTGTGGTATTGTTTCTCGAAGCATTTATATTTAGTTATTTCTATTCTTGTAAAATTTATACGAAGGACCTGGTTTTCAAAACACTGTAACTTCTTTGGATGTGTAATAAGAACTCTTTTGTTTATGAAATATCGATTTTGACAAGGGTTTTGATGAAACAATAATTAAATCTACTGTCTAATTTTCAAAATTAGATAAATTGAAATGCTGGAATTCAGAAAACGATTTCAAGTATATTTTCGAAGAGATTAATTAACTTGTAAGAGAAATTGGAATATTAAACATCAAAAAGCAGATCAATATCAAATATCCAATAAAGTTGCATTTTATCTTGTAAAACAAGTCAATAATCAAAATTTCACAATGATGGCAGAAAAGCTTGGTCAAAAACAAAACAAAATATTTGAATATTAGATGTGAGCACAAACATAAAGTTGTCAGTTCCCCTTTTCCCTCTACGTTTGGATTAGTTTTGTCAAAATTACAAAATAAATTGTCATAGTAGGATAGAAATATTTACAATTTCAACTGCATGTCTTAAAAATATTTTCATTGCTGCCCTGTATCTCGAAAAACGTACCCAAAGGTAAAATAATACCGAGTCCCATTTTGTTCGCTCAAAAAATGTGCATTTAACGATTTGGTAAATTTTTTACTAGTAGTATTTTTAATAACAATGTGCTGGCCATCGTACTCAGTTTGTACGATGCACTAAAACTACTTTTCCTCTGTCATTTTATATAAAGAAGAACCTGAAGAATACGATAAGTGGTTTCCAAGACGAAATATTTTGTTTTACAAATACCCATGAATAAATTAGTGCCCATGTTTTCCTTAAAGAATTATTCAATCTTATGATTCTTATGAATTCCTATCTAGTACAAATAAAGAACTAAACGTACATATAATTGTTTATTTTTCCAGGACAGAAGAGTAAATACACTATCATACAAAAATAATTTTAGTTCAGCTCACCATTCTTCCTTTCTACTTTAGTGAAACATCGTAAGTCTCAGTAAGACATTTTATTCAACTAGAATAACTAGGATACTATAAATTAGCTCGAGTACGAAAAAGTTCAATAAGAACGATTTTAATAAACATGTTTGACTAATTTGACAGAACAAGAAAGTTTTTATCTAGATATTAGAATGATACAACATCATAAAATAGAATAACAAATTGTAAAAGAAATAAGAAATTGTAAAGTATCACTTAGAATTTTTGAAATAAGGTCGGCAAAACATGTATCGTAATAAACAACATCACAGTAAATTGGTAAGAATAGAAGCCGAGAAGAAATTGTGATAATGATTATTTTGTGTTAATGTTCCAGCGTTATAAATTATAATAATTTATTTCCCGCTTAACAAATTGTTAAACGAGATCAAGATAAGATTAGGCCCGATTCTAAGTGGTTAAATTGCCCATTTAAATAAGTAAGGAGCCGTAACTCAATATTAAGTCGAAATAAAACGCTCCGAAATCCCCACAATTCATCGAACGGCATGAGAAAGCACACTCGGTTTAATCTCGAAGACTCATTTATATTATTTATAAGGGCATATGTTAGGTTTGTTTTCAATAAGCACCGACGTTTCCACAGCACGTGAGCAGCTACACAGTAGAGCACGGCTCGTAAAATCAACGGTTTAGAAACATCGTTAATCTTGAACTTGTCTTAATTGTGACTTCGGGATTGTTTCAAGTGAGCCGCCCCTGTTTTGGTTCTCGTTACATTGTTTTCTTTATGAATGGGGAATTTAATATATCGCCCGCTGGAAATACATTGAGGTCTTTCACCTTTAAAATAATTAATAGAAACACGGCTCGTGGGTATCGATTTCCCGGACAGGTGGAACTTTGGTTTTTGCGAAGAATCGATGCAGGTTGATTGTTCATTGTCTATGGGTTTTTGTCGTGCAATTTGGGAATACCCTGTAATTATAGATATTATGTGAAACAAATTGAAAAAACTTAAATTATTCTTTCCTATTAATACAGCCTATTAATATTGAGCAGAGCAAGAGAGAAACAACCACGCAGGATTATCATCGTATTGTGAATACCATAACCTATTATTGATTTTTAGTTAAGCAAAATGCAATGAATTTAAGATAACCGTTTATTACACGAAAAGTCGTTTGTTGCGGTGCCCCATTATATTTTGGATACTGGTGGCGTTATTCCCCGCCCTAAACGAAGAACACAACGACAAAATTCCGTGCAGTTGAAAGACTAGTTACTATTATATTGTTGACAACATTAAAACACAAGCAGAAAAAGAATTGCCGATCAAATTATTGTATCCAAAATAATTGAACATTAGCAATATTACTTCAACAATATGTTACAAAATTTAAAGGTACTCGCGAGCACACTGATTGGTTACAATACAAAAATTTACGAAATTACTGCGTCTCTACTAGAAAAAAAGGGTACATGGAATTTATTGTTTCTCAAAAAAATAGTAAACAGACTTGGATAGATCTTAACTCTCTCAATATTCGATCTTGTTTAAAATGTATTTTGCCACCTTAGATGACCCTAATGAAATTAAGGCCTTTTTTGTTTAATTTTGCGGAATATCTCTAATAATTGTGATGACCAAATTAATTTTTATGACAATAATAGACGTGATATTGATCTATCTTTCAAATTTGCTTTGGCTACTGTTGATGAGATTCATACCATTCTTAATAGTATCAAAACGGATGCATTTGGTGTTGATAATATATCTCCCACTATGTTAAAATACTGTAGTCCATTTATTGGTCCGTATGTTACTCATATAATTAATTGCTATATTGAGAAACAATACTTTCCTTGTTTGTAGAAAAAGGCAATCGGTTTGCCTCTACCCAAAAAAAATCCAGAATTGTTCTCTGATCTTAGAATAATTAGTATATTACCTGGGCTTTCCAAAATTTTTGAAAGATAGTTATATAATCAAATTTATGACTAATTTGTAAATAATAGTCTCTTACCTCAATCGCAATGTGGCTTTAGGAAAGGGTATAGTACTTCAACTGCTCTAATTACCGTCACTGATGATTTAATAAAAGCACAGGACAGGGGACTAGTTAGTGTTTTAGTTTTATTGGACTTCTCTAAAGCTTTTGACACAATTAATCATAAGCTTCTTTGTTCTAAACTTAAGTACTATGGGTTTGATGAACCGACTTTTGATCTTATTAATTCTTATTTACATGGAAGATCCCAACAGGTATGTGTAAATAACATTTTATCTAATAGTTTAGAAATACTTTCTGGTGTACCCCAGGATTCAATTTTGGGTCGCTTACTTTTTATAATTTAAACTGCTTCCATTTTAAAATCAATTCAACAATGTAAAGTGCAAGCTTATGCTGATGATATTCAACAATATTATCATTTTGATATTAATGATCTGGATCAAGCATGCAATATTGTCAGCTCTGAGTTACAAACAAATTATCTGATGAACATAATTTAAAATTAAATTCTAGCAAATCAAAAATATTTTTTTTGGTACTAAGAAAAAGGTACAAATATTAAAAC